GTTAAAAGTCATCAAACGAGTAGCGCTGTTTAGCTGCGTCAGACCACTTGGTTAGGTCCCATACAGGCTTTCCACGTAGTGAAAATGGTGGTACATAACCGCCACCGCTAGATAAAGAAGTTAGTCTCGGCCTTACAAGATTCGAAGCACTACGCACGCTCTGAGCTCTCTATACTCCTTCCATGCATTGGCAAGAGGGAAGCTCTGGATTTTATAGTTCGCGTCTTGAGGCTTATATTTCCCAAACCAAGGGACAGGTGCTTCCTCTTCCTCTTCATCCTCGTCCTCATCATCATCATCCTTTTCCCTCACCACAGACTTGTCGACATATTCCTGCTTTTTGTCGTTGGGGAGCGTCTGATAGAATTTTTGATAGGTCCTCTTGATCGCTTCAATCCGAGCTTGCCGATATTCCTGGGATTGGCGTCCAAAGAGATGTCTTGCGTAACTCTTGAGGATCTTGGTGTACTTTCCACCACCAAAATCGCTCGTCATATCTCCCACATCGGCCATAGAGTGAAGACAGAACTCTAGGTCAGGGAGCTCTGCCTCGCCTTTCTCTGCAAACTCAGGTTCCAAAGCCTTGAGAACTTTGACAACGAGTGCTCCGAATACCTTGTCGGCAGCCATGACTGTATCTCCATCGTCAATAGCTATTGGCACAAAGGGACACAATAAGCATTTGTCGTGCGGTGGATTGGAGACAACATACTCATAAAGTCAGAAAAACTATTCATAAGGATAGAAAGTGCTGTGAGCTCGTGCCAACTATCCATCCACTCTTTTTTTGACGATTTTTTATAAACAGAATCCAGGACCCCATGTATGAGGTCAAGAACGCCATATCCTAGGTAATCTGCAGACATACTCTGAGTGCGATGCGACATTACGCGTTGATTGGTACTGTACCATTGCAGACATACATGGCGTGCGCGTCAGGGTCGCGTCTGTCCGCCTCCTTCATAAGAGTTTCTGCCAAACGGAAGGCTGCCTGGTTCATAGGCTGTCCGCCTGGGTTAAAAGTGTATCCTTCAGGGAGTAAGAACTAGAGAAAAAGAGTAGAACACGTCAGCACTCGCGTTTTATGGCATGGCTGGCATAATGCGGACTTCTTGTTGGGTCGCCATTGCGTATCAGACGTCAAATGGAAACTGAAAAACCTCTCCTGTCTTTTCTTTGACTGATAAGGTCGTAGAGTTCTTTGGAGAGGCGAGAATTTTTAGGCAAGGGGAAAGCCTTTTTTTTGGGTGAACAAGGTGAGAGGGAGACAAAGCAAACAAGCTCAGGTGACGTTTATAGCACGCGGCA